GTCCGTACATCGTCTCTGTCTCTCTCTCTCTGACTGAGATTGAGTCCAAGGGTCTTGATGTGTGGTTGTGATCAGTGGATGTCGATGAAGCTCCCGAGATTCCTCAGGATTACGTGAACAATACACACACTAAGCCTTTCAAGTCCGGAGGATGGAGAGTCCCATTCGCATCTGAAGTAATCACTGTCCATTTGATGGCCTCAGAGTTTGAGAAATTGCCGTGACATGTCTATCCTTGTTTTTTTTTTGATGAAAACATTGATAGGCTAAACCTCAAGAAACACGCTAATGCTTGATTGCAATTTTACAAGTTTCGTTAATTAAAGAAAATTAATCTTTTATAAATTTGGTTTGAACTTAAAAAATAAAAATAAAAATAAAATGGCTTTTTGTTTGGTGACACAAGCTAAAGAATGTCCCCTGATTTGCTTCATTGGTCTCTAATTATAACCGCATTCACTAGTCACTGCATTCATTGGTGCTCTTCTAAAAGATGGTCTGGTGTTTAGATCTAACAGGCGTTTTCTCCATTTGAGGCTCATTTTTGGGATGATTTACATTTGTACATACACATGTACATGTACATGTTGTTAAACAACATGTGTCATTCGCGAACAAGTTCTGTGAAAATGGTAAAGTGCTTAATGTGGCTGAGCAAGATCTACTTTTGCTGTTTTAAAATATTTGTATTCATAGGATTACATTCACATGCAGATTTCACCAAGGTTTTGTTTCTTGAATAACAATTGAATAAACACATGCATTTTAACAAGTACATGTCATAAGCAACAAATTGTGAGTACATTTTGTGACGGAACCGTAAGGCGTTGATGTGCACTGTGGTGGCATTTAGATGAAGTCCTTAGGAGATATAGTCAGGATCGTTCCGACAGACTTCCTTTGAGCATTCAGCGTGTATTGACATGAATGAGACAGATGCGCACGTATCCCGTATACATGATGTGCAGTGTCTAAATTTAATGCAACCAAGATGACATCTAACCCCCCCATGGCCAGACAGCAGTTTACAAATCACATTTTTTTTTTTTTTTTTGGTTCTCCAGTGCAAAACTGTGTCAATTGATAAGCAAACACTTCATATTATAGAGGTGCGATGCGGTACAATGCCTGGGCAAACATTGTTTACGCACTTATCGGATCTAGAGTTTCTAGATCTTTGTTCGCTAAGCATGCTAAGGGAGTCCTGATTCTGCCAGATGGCTTATTTTGACACACATTTCATCACTGTTCTCAACAATACATGTACAGGGTGTATAAAAAAAAAAAGGAAACCCAAATGTATATTATAAAAAATCTAATAGCCTAAATATTTTCAAATAAAATAAAGTGAAATGCCAATGTGCCCTCTTTCCAATGATAAATTTGTACCTTGATTGTGTGTCTGTGGCCAAGGATGACTTCGTTGTTATCCTGTCAAGGGTAAACGCCTGCACTGGACCAAGTTTTACCCATTCAAGATGATTGTTGATAAAATCACATAAATGAAAACAATGCCATTTTGCAAAAATAGTGACGGTTTGTGGATTTGTGTTTTTTCCCCAGTAAAGATGCTGCATCCTTCTTGCTATCTTGTAATCATCAACGCTGTCAGTTCTTGTCTTGCGTACTCCTATAGCTCCGTGCCCAGCCTATTATCCTCGCAATGCTTAATTTATATCTTCTCTTCTCCACGCATCTGTCCTCGTCTTAGTCTTGTCTCGTCCCTGAGATGCCCCTCCTTAACATACAGATAAAATTGTTTCTTCCCGGTGAGAAACGTCGGGAGCAGTGAACAATTCTGCCACGGCCTGGTGTATTCCATGATTTGATTAAACGAGCGAGCTGTACTGCTAAATTACGTCACAGAATAATGGCCATTGGTTCGCAATAATAGAAAATTTTACCTGTTTGCCAGAAGCTATTTATATTTCTTCAGGCTTGATCTGATGGAATGACATGCTCATGTACTAGCAGTACTTGCAAGTGATCTTAGAAATGCATATGTACGTACTTTTGTTTAAAAGAATGTATTGTTCTTTGAAATTAATCCTTTTTTTATAGAGAAGTTTTCAGCATTTTTTGTTTGAACGCTCTAAGCCAAATGCATACCGTACATGATGTAGCTTACTGTGTCCTTGTGCCTTCAGATTTGAAGGGGCGTCCTCTTGCAATAATCATAGAAAGTACCGGTCTGTGCTGACATATTAATAGCGCTAGCAGAGTCGTCGGCGTGAAATTGAGAAATTGAAACCAGTCCGGCCTCCCCGCATTAATATTTGATGGTCCGGTGCCACACTTCAGAGTATTGTATGACCAGCCCGGCATAATGTAAGCATCATTCTGCCCTTTCCCTGCCTTGGTATGTCACCTTTTTTTATCAGTGTGACCCGGGTTCGAATCCCAACTGAATCGATTGATAAGAACTCTATATACATGTACATGTACATGCCCTCCACTCTAAACTCTTCAACATGTTCAGTGTTCTGTTGACATGACATACACACATGTACATTTACATGTAATGTGCTACATACCGGTACATGTAGTATACATGTACTTAACGCTGTACTTGTTGAAGAAATGAGTCAACATTGTGACACGTTTGACATGTTTACACATACATGTGACATACATTTGTACCTACACTGGGCTTTTTGAATGGTTTTTCATCTTGTTTTGAGAGGAAACATGTGTACCAGGTCTAGCTGTTGCAACCTTGTATCAGTCTTGTGTATGGTCAATTGAGGGCGCTGTTTGCTGCACAACATGTTACATGTACACATGTGTGTTGTTAAAATAGCCAAAAAAAAAAAGCTACACAGAGTTATCGCACAGTTACATGTACATGTACCTTGTAGTAATGTTCATGTGTTGGGGATCAGTTTTGAAGTGAAGCTTACACGAAACAAAGTCTTTATCAAATCCATACATTGAACATTGAACAGAGCAGTTTTTTATTTCGATTTTTGGAAGTACTTCACTTTTTTTTCATAATATCACTAGTGGCTAAAAAAAAATGTTCAAAACAGATTAAACTCCAATACGCACCCAAGCAAAGGGAATTCTTGACGTCAACAAATCCAAATTTCATTGTGAAGTTCGCCGCCACAATATCAGATTTACTCCAACACAATGTTTAAATTCATACATGTACAATTTAGTGAAGTGCAAATCCGCTTCAAGGATCATATTTCAGATGCCCATCCATACATTTTTAATTCCTCCCTCTGCCCATCCCTTCAAATATTTATCAATTTCTCTGAATATGAACAAATATATATTTATTATTACCATGAATTTATTAAATTTCTCTAACATGAAATATATATTTTCCAAACCATTGCCAGATAAATATTTTTTTTGCACATTTATTATTTTCCCGTCTTATATTGTGCCCGCGGACACAGTCTCGTACAACGGCCAACTCTGACCTGCTAGTCTATCGGGGCTTAGCACTACAGGGAAAAATCCAGCAGCGATCTATAGCCTTTAGAGTAATCCCCGCTGATTAAATACGGCATTATTTATGCAATCAATAAGCCCCACAGTGCTGTACATGGAGGCTATATGAGGAGTGGGTAGGGCCGGGAAGGAATTGTGGATTTGGTGAATCTGTCTCCCAAGTGTTCGACATGTGGTCTGGGTCTGTTGCTATGGTAATGACCTGATAAAAATCCAGAGTGTGTAAGCTTGACCAAAAAGATGTTGAAAAAAAACACCATACCATGATACAGTGGTTTCATCTTCGATAACATTTTAGTTGGGATTGAGTGATTAGGTTTATGATGCAGGTTAGGGATACATACATTTTCTTGGTACACTGCATCATGTAGGCCTTTGTTCAGGCCAAAATGTGAAGTGCATTTTACAATCTGATAACAGCGATTGGGCCAGAGTTGAAATGTGTTCAACTATTTGTGAATTTGCGCTATAGGCCCCCTACCAAAACTTGTAATTCACTTTCACTTGCGCGTGAAGTACATGTACAAAAAGGACTTTGTTAAAAACAAAACACCAATAACTGTCATTGTTTCAACGCATACAAAGAAATAATTTAATAAAATAAACCTATACTTCCGGGGAGATGTACATGTTACATAACATGTACATGTACATACACTGTAAACCCAAAGAGAACTCATCTAATTCTTAGCAATAATGTACGTTGTTCTCAAAATGAATACAGAACTAATCTGATATTTTGAACGGAACAATATGCTAATATGTTTCCATTTATCATATGAAATCTGTGCGCTTGTTTGCAAAGATAAGGAAATGAAGAGTGCTTTGTAGCTTGCTTTGCACTTTACCGAATCCAGTAATCAATATTAAACACCTGTCATAGACGGGACTTGACAAATCTCTATCTACAGCCAAGTCAATTATTTAGGTCTACATGTGTATGTATGGGTTGGCTGTGGTGCGCAGTTTTATTGAGAAACTTTGTTCAGATGTTTTCTTCTTTTTTTTAAAGATTTATATCAAGCTTGTGAATTTTGTGATTTCCTTTTGAAATCGAATGTGTCCTTGAAGACTAACAATAACATCTGCATTTTTTTTTTTTTGGGGGGGGGGGAGGGGGTTTGGAGTGGGGGAGGAGGAGGGGGAGTTGAGGGGTATCAAGCAGTCAGACTCATTTTACATACCGGTACATGTACATGTAGATCTACATGTACATGTATACATGTAGGTGATGGTCTCTGTTTGACAAATAGCACTTTACCGGTACTTTCTGAGGCGGTGAAGTGAATTACAATCTAAAATACAACACGTTAGATACAATGTACATCGTCATTGATAGGCTCAGCATTTCTCTAAACTTCTATTTATTTTGTATAGTTTGTTCCAACATTCAAAAGCTGTTCTTTGTCCCTTGAATTATACGGGAAAGGTACAGATATTTTTGTACTTGTGATTTTGAAAATGTATTTGATAACGTCTTATCCGTTCAATTGTATGAATTGTTTTCTTTTTGTTTTGTTGTTATTTGCTATCTCCAGGTTATTTTACTTGAATTGAAATGAGCCAGAAGTATTGATGCTAATCTTCTGAAGGGACCTAAGTAGCAGGCTTGAGCGTAACGGGACACTCTGTACAGGTATAACAGCTTAACGTGACCCATCAGTTCCAGTACCGCCCTAACCTGCCCAGCCCGTTACTCCCTGTTACTCCTTGTACCAACCCACACCACCCGAGCACTATGATAGTCCTTTTCACACTAGACAAATCTCGGGGTTGACGCAGAGTTGAAAACATGCGGCGTTTCACACTTGAAAAGGTCCAACCCCACGCCAACTCCCCGTCAACCCTGAGATTTATTTTGCCCCGGGTTGAACTCAATCCTGCTCCAGAACAGGGTTGAGATTTTCAACCTGGGTTTACATTTTGTTAAATCTTTAAAAACTGTCAAATATTAAGTGGTCAGCTCCCTCAAATGCTGATACAAACATAATATTCAATTTGTTTTTTTCCTCAATTGTCAGTGTTCGAATATTCGAATATCGATCAAATCCAAGTTCAAATATTTTACAAAATAATTTGAAATTTCACAGCCTTTTGGCAATTTTGGACTCTTCCATATATACATAGGCCACTCGCAGAAGGCCAAACAACATCAACTTCAAGGCAGTGTCTACCCATATGCCATACTATAAGTCTAATGAACCTGAAAAAAATATATATATATTTCAATTTAGGGACGGGGGTGTTAGTGTGATATTTAAGGCTGATCGTGGAAACCAATTCTGATAAGATTAGCTCCTTGCGCCGGGGAAAAGTGCCCCAATCGGATTAGATGCTCTTAATTAATAACAACCCCTCTAGTTCAGAGGCCGGCCGACAAGTTCCTTTCTCGCTTCAGGATTCGGTTATCCTGGAAATTGAATCTTGAAAGTGCATGCTCATGTAGCATGGAGTATTTATCAATGCACGCTTTAGCAGATCGCTTTGCATTTTACAGTTGACATCATAAATAAATGTAATGATTTGCATACATGTATGTACTAGGCCCCAAGTGCAGGTCAACTTCATGAACTTTCTGCGAAATGTCTTATTTGGACCCATGTAAGACAAGACATCTGTCTTTATTGTGACTTGGAGCAAAGCAATGACGGGCATATGTCATTGCAACTAGACACAACAGATCATAACCCTCCTGCTGTCTGAACAGTCACAGACAGTCAAAAAATCGATTCTTTCTCCTGGCATGGCTTTTACACAGGCTAGTCACCAACAGTCAGATCATATTTTTTTTAAGCAAGCACTGTGACTAGTCAAATTCAGTCCACAGACAAAAACAGACAAGTGTTAGGCACAGTCTGCTTATCAATCACCCACAGTCAAAGCTTACCTGGTAGCTGTATCAAGTTACATAAACAGTCACAGTCAGTCAATCCAGCTTTATGTAAGCTGGGAGCTATTAACTGTTGAAAACAGTCACTTGATTGATTTTGACTGAAAGGACAACTTGGCACAGAATATATGTTTGCATAGGAGGGTCAGTCACAGACAGTCAAACATTTCCTCCACTTCCCTTGCCATGCATTTGTATACAGGCTAGTAAAAAACAGTCAGATCACATTCCCTTGTTGACACTATAACTGATCAAATTCCATACAGACAAAAGAGGCAACTCAGCTGGCATATCAATCACCTCCAGTCAAAGCATGGCTTAATATCAAATTAACAAGGGAATTCTTAACTGTTAAAAACAGTCACAGATTGATCTTAACTGCTGTGATGGCATAGCTGAATTTGCCAGCCAGAGAGGTAGGATTCTTATGTCAGACATGCGGGTGGTCGCCTCTGGTTTTTAGACAGCAGGACATTAAACGTCGTATAGATCATATTCTCAGATCTTTGACATGTAGAGGTTAGGCTTCTTGAAATTATGCTAGGGGCAGGTGTATAGGCAAAAATTAATCAGATAAATGTACATTTGAAACTGCACTCCAACTTTGTGTAGGGAGGGACCCTTTATATGATGTACATGTACAGCAATGCACACGTGTTCTGGTGTGATGTACAGTGTGCAGTGATGTTTCAAAGTGTAAATTATTATGTACTACTACAACTTCTATTTCCGTTGTGGCGTTGTCATGTTTTCAGTTTCAACTTTTAGATTCATAAATGTAACTTATCCTTTACCTACATGTACATGTACATGTACGCACAACGTTGTGCATGGCAACTTTATCATACACAGTACACGAACATGTAAGCTCAAGTATGTACATTGAAATCGGATACATAACTGGAGGCCCTGTCTCCACAATGTACATGTTGCTGTATACATGTGCTTGGAATGAGATATTGCCAGGGTGTGTTCATGTAGATGTACTTTATTTCGTAAATTGTAAAGTACGGTACAGTGTACATGTTTGTATGGACATTTGTACATTATGTGCATCATGTCCTATTTTGGCTCAAGTCAAAGTCTTACAGTACTACACAGCACAAAACTGACGTTTTTGTACCAAATATAAAGAAAAGTGTTCATGCCATGCAGAATAAAAAAGAAGAAAATTGGCTGCACCTCTTATAAATATCCACTGGCCTTGTGATAATACAAGCACGTCAAAGTACGTCTTAGAAGAAGTGACAGTGCGTGAAAGCCAGTCAGGAAACTATAGAATGGCTGATGAGCTCACATCGCATCAAGTTACGGTATAATGACAGACCTGTAATTTTCCATGCCTATTTCTACAAGGTATTATAGTCACCAGTAAGACAAACACATGATACGCATCCACACAAAAGTCTGGCAATATTCTGATATTTTCAAGATGGAGGTACATCGTACGTGTACCTGTGGGAGTTTGGAAGTAATGTTCAGGCTGTCACTTGTCAGTGCTTTCAGATGGCATCAGACAAAGAGTCTGTGATATTACTTGTCTCCCGAAGTGTAATACATGTTGAGCCATATATATGTAAATAGGCCCAGGTGGAAGCAAAGTTATAGGGCCAAAGGAGAAAATGAATTCTTCAGAGCAATTACTATGAGTGGCGGGGCGGATTTAGCTTTCAGGAAATGCATGGAGGGGGGGGGGGCGGTGATGTTTGAGTGAAGGCGTGCCCGTGCTATAGGGGGTCCAGGGGGCATGCACCCTCCTCCAATCTAAGGCAAATTGAGAATAGGCATCCCCAACCCAGGCCCCCCCCCCCCCCCCAACCCAGATCCGCTACTGAGTGGCAAAGTTCATGATTCCATTAAATGAGACAAAAGAGTTACATGTATTTGCAAAAAATCACAACTTACCATTTCAGTATCTTTTAAATGTAGTCAACACAAACAAACATGTGAATTACATGTCTCTGTCAGTCATTGTAGTATAAGTCTGATTAAAAAAAAACTCACCAAAACCAAACCCCCCCCCCCATTAAAAAAAGAGGAACACAATAAAACTTACAGTGTATTTAATTTCTCTTCAGGGCTGATCAGTTTTAAGTTTGGTCTGGAACTTGGCTTGTTATAAATTGTAACTAATCACCTGCTCTTTCAATGCTTTGAATACAATGTATGTGTAGACAGGTGTACCTGCAGGCTTTACTTTGTGCTTGAATTATGAACACTTATCATAGATGTGATCTTTTGAAATCTTTGTTCGGATGCTTGCCCGTAAAGACATCTGACAAAGCAGTATGAGTTGATGCTAAAACCTAAAGAACAAAAGTGATCTGCGCATGAATCTGACACCAAACGAAGACCTAGTGCCATCATTTCTGGAAATCTGCCCGGGAGGCAGATAAAGTGTTGCCATGGTAACAAGTCAAAGTGCCTGCATCCTGAGTCCAGGCTGAGTATGACAGGCCTATGAGTCCAAATCTCCCCCATTTGCTAGATGGTTGAATTCCGTCGGTTGAACACGGCCAGAGGATTTAGGCAGCTCTGAAATTGTGTGATTGGATGGATTGTGTGAACCTTTCGGTGACTGAGTGGTGAGTCCTGGGAATCTCAAAATTCCTGTCGAGTTCATGCACGGGCGTGTGTGTTTGAGGGTCTTAGCTGAATCTGAATTTTCCTTCAATTCAGTAAATTGGCACACTTTCCAGATGTTTACCCGGTACACATGTATGTGTAGTTCTGCACAAAGTTGATTTAGTCATGGATTTAGCAAGTTTTTCTTACAAAGTCTCATACGTGTACGCGTGCATGTTTCTTACTGGCATCTTTGTTAGAATTGTGTGTACGCCATATAAGCACCCTTGCGTGTAAAACACTTAACAGTAATGTAATCAACTATGGAGAAGAAGGCTGATGTTTACAATGTATTAAAGTTCTTCATGTATGCAGTTTGTCTTAATTGGCAATTTGAATTAAACTGGAAGCCTGTGTATAGTATAGTCGTCTAAAGAGTTTGATACAACGCTGCGTCGTAGATTGACAGTGTACGTGTACGTGTAAACAATGTGTGTGTACATGTAAGTGTGTGTATCATACACGTACTTAACACATGTAATGTACCGTACATCTACATATCTTGAAAGATTCTGTCTCTTTAATGACATTTTGGCTGCACTTTATTCCGGATCCCTCCCTGGTTTTAATCTTCCCCCGGGCCCTCCAAGGTTAAATTAATTGATATGCGTGATTATTCCTATCCATGATCACGCCGTATTGATTGGTTATTCAGCTATATTCACCTGCAAAATGTGCGCTTTGGGCCGGCCCTAGTTGGGTTAACCTTTTAAGATTTATCCCACCAGCAAATCTGCATGCAAATTGAAATCACGGCGAGTGCAGTGTGACGCACACACACACAAGACGTATGTACGCATGATTGGATTCCTCAAGACTGTCCTCCTCTTCGGCTGACAAACCCAACCCCATCCATCCTATCAATTCCAGAATATGAGACTATCCCATAGACAAGTTTCAAACACAATTGAACGCTCGGGTGAACCCAACCAATTCATGGGCGCTAACCAAATTAATACAAGGTTTATTGTTTTTAATAAATTTCCACGGCCGCGGTTGAGCAAGGGCATGCGGAGACGAGCTGTCGGACTGAAATGCTGCAGGAGTATTCCCCAGTCGACATGTTCAGGATCAGACGTGGGAGGCCTGGCCATACAGAGTTTTCACTCTAGCCAGTGCCGGTCAATTCCGATACAGCCCGGAGTGAGTCGGATTTTCCCACAGAGACCAGTCTGATTACACAGATCACTTTCCCCACAATCTTGTCAGCAAACATATTCAGATGGCGTAACTTGATTACGAACCCAATCTTCGCCGAGTAGGACCATGCACTTAAACCAAGAAATACACAAGATCTGCAATAAATTTTCTCCTCGCCACCGACCGATTGATTTTTTTTTTTTTTTGCGGAACGGAAATCCTGTCTTGTAGTGCCCTGCGTCATGCACACATTGCTCCTAGCAGTGAGCAAGGTGACCTTTTTTCTTTTATCACTCGACCCCGAGTGGGAGGCGTTTGAAACCGTAAACGCTTCGGTTATCGTATTTTGTTCTGTCTTCCTTTGAATGGCTTTTAGTGCCTTATCTATCGATCGATGGATGCAAAAACACGGCAACTTGCAAGTCATGAGATTGCTGTAAATTGCCATTAAGGCTGCCTTAAATGCATAATGCACACTCCCATGGGCATGCTTTGCACCAACGAAATAAAAGAGTTTCATTTCACTTAATTCTATCGAGAGGGGTTTTAGGGACACCCTCTCCCTTTTGTAGCTGGAATACATGAGGCACTTTAAAGAATCAATGCTGTAGAGTTAAGATGCCCGTCCAGTGGTACGGTTTGGCAGAGCCTTTTGTTTTGCTTATTTTTCAAAACCAAATCAATGCAGTATTAATAATGGATACTGTATAGCATTAAAGCAATATGCTGTTGTCAAGATGTGGCCATTCTTGTCCATTATTTTGCGCAAAGTCCCTTATGGACGTAGACAAAACAAAAACGACAGGATGTATGGAGATAGTGCTTCTTCCCAGCATCTCAATTTGTCTTTTGTACAGTTTTCAATGGATATCTATTATACACGGTGCACGGTGGGAGAAACCAAAAATTGAAACAGAAAATAAATTTTGGAAAAAATATTATTTATGTATACATGTATATATTTTAGTTTCTATTTTGTTTTTAAAGTAGACTACAGCGATTCTGCTTGGCAGATGAGATGCCTCAATGGTGACAAAATGAAAGAAAAATCTGTAAGAGATACATGTACATGTACCATTACATGAGCTTCTTGTATGATTTAATAACCATGAAAACATTATTTCTTTTATCTTGGCACTCGTAGCGCTTATTGTGTTACATGTAAAGGCCCTTTCATGCATAGCGCGAAAGCAAATGCAACACGAATTTGAATTCACAAACGTTGATCACATTTCGACTCCTGCGATTTTGCAGCAAATATTTTGTGACACCTAATTCGCTTCATATTCACTTCACATTAAGTGTGAACCGGCCTAAATCATAACCATTTACTTGTACAAGTTGGCAAAATGGCACAGTTACTTATGACAAAGTTCAACTGTTTGAACTATCTTCTTTACAAAGAATCAAATTTCAGACAGTTTCATTGCTTGTTTTGACAGATAAAATTTGGCAATTGTGAATTCCATAGAAAGAGTTCCATACCTAGACATCACTTACGTAAATGCAACACCCTGTGCACACACCCTATGAGACTGGTCTGAAAAATTCCAAGTGTTTTCTTGGTAAATGCTTCAATATTTTCCTAGCTAACTTGAACTTTCTAGGACATGTTATCGCTTTCTGATGGCTGATATAGGCCACTGCAGGGAAAAATTAGTGATGCCACGTATGGAATTCTTCCCAATTCCATTTTTCTTTCCAGTCACTCTGTTCAGGTTTGTATCTGACGAAGAGTTCTTAAATCTTAAGTTCTCTTTTCTTTTTTTTCCTTCCCCCGTCACTCGTTTCCAGGTTAGTCCAGACAGGGAGGCAAGATTGCTACTACCGGGTACCAAGACGCTGCCAACCTGACGACCTTCGTCCAATTTCCCTCGTACCCCCTGACCATCCTACCCACCCCTGCGTTGCCGCACCACCACCCTCCACCTCCCCCCCTCTACACCATGACCAGCCCAGAGGACACGTCCGGTATGGTGGGCAACAGTGACACGCCTAGTGTCACGCTCACCATCAGGCTCATCATGCAAGGAAAGGTAAACAGAAGTATTTATTATGATTATTATTATTCATTTCTGGTAATGAAATCAAGGATTCCTCAAAAGCACTCTACCGATAGGCACTGTAGCTCGCAATCCTGAGGAAACCTGTGGAGAGAAGACAATGAGAAGAAATTACAGTTTTAGAGGTGGGAGGAAGAGCCCAGAAGACTATTCTGGGGGAAACCCACGGAATCAGGCAGGGACTGAAAACCCAATCCACATATTGGCTCAGGCGGGATTCGAACCCAGGTCACAGCAGTGGAAGGCGAGGAAAGTACCGCTACGCCAACCTGACTCCCCAGTATCTGTTGTTTATTATTTATTTCATGCAATGAAACCACAGAATCCAACCAAAATCGCCCAAGGCACTGGAAGCTTGCAAGCCTGAAGAAACCTGTGCAGAGAGGGTAGTGAACAGCCGCGCGCACGTGTGCGTCGTTCCAATACTTGTGCGTGCTGCGCTGAATAACAAAACGAACTACTAATTTAAATTTTCCTACGGTGCTTCTTAAGAATCACCGTTGGAAATGCCTTCTTTCGTTGATTACTTCAAAATGTCAGCTTCCCAGAAAGAATAATTTCACAGGGAGTTTAGTCCCCTTACTATCTTTCAACCAAGTTTGTTTTCAACAATAATTACGCCAGTTACTTTTCGGATGGCTGCAAATGATGGACTATACCTTTAAGTCTGAACACCCCATCTAGAAGCGGACCTGGGCAGGAATCGAACCCGGACCATAGAGTTCAAAGGTGTGGAAAGGACCACCACGCAAATCTGATGCCCCACATACCTGTAGGTGTTGTAAGGGAAACAGAATTGTTGAACAACGCAGGCCACTGTCGTCCAAATTTGTTAGTGAGTACACGTATTGAGGAAATTAGTTTCTGATCGCATGTATGAATACGAGTATTGGAACGTGCACTTGAGCACATACGAACGCTACAAAATCAGCGTGGGGTTGTTAAAAACTATCCAGTTTTTATCCGTAGTATTCTCATAGAGCATAAAATACAATCGTGTATTTTTAATTCAGTTCTCCAATATCACTTTAAAGAAATCATACTACGGTTAACAAAACATGCATAAAAGCACCCATACACCACAAATACATCCAATAATTCAGAACTACTCCGTGCCCCTGCATCAAGAAAAGGTCGGCAGTGATCAAATAATAGATGGAGTTTCAGAAATCATATTTTCAGTTGTCACATCTGCTTTACAAAGTACGTGCAATATAAACAGCCAAATTCATTCTTCACTGTAATAAAAAGGAAACGAGATTGGTTGACTTCCATCAAATCCAAGAGCGATTAAAGAAATTGTCGATCGATCACCTTTGACATACTGTTCTAGCACTCAACCAACGAAGCTACATGGACATGCACATGTTTATGTTAATGGTCGGAGAAATCAGAAATTTTAAAATCCAGTTATCCTAAAACCAGCTCGATATGGTCTCGGAAGCTGCGGACTCAACGAATTTGTGTTCCACTTTGCGTGGAATGTGTACGGCCGTTGTCTATGAGATCTGGAAAGCTGCTATGCAGCACGCATGTGGCTATTGTCTCCCGGTTTATCGCCTCTCATTGAGCTGTGGCAGTCAGAGACAATGGAGCAAATTAGGAGATGTTCCTGAAATTTTTCTTTAGCTTGTGTCACAAAAAAATGGAAGGCTTTTGTAAAGGTTGGTTTCGAAAATCCTGTTTTCCAACATCCAAACGGAATGGTGGAATTCAAACCAAATTTTGAAAGTACATCCCGTCCGTTGTTGAGTATCCCTGGCTAATGTAGGCCAAGATGAATTTCTCCAATCATATCAGATACCTCCCTCTGTGCTGTGTTATTATCATAAGATCACACCACCAAGAGAAGAAACACAAATATGAAAGGTGTTTGCCGAGACACTCTGCGGGTTATCGTTACACTTTACTAAAGTCAAATGTGTCCCAGCTCGGAAAGGGTAACCAGGTCGTTTGGGGTCAACCTTTGCTGATCTAATCTAGATCCATTGGTAGTTATTTTAGCAGCAGCTGCACCATGTACAGGTCTACGCTGGGGGTAGAAATCCCACACTGTTAAATTTTGGCCTGGGTTATTACTAGCATTGTGGCATCGGTTCAACCATGGAGGAATTCTGTAAATTTAAGGTCCAAATTGTGACATTTTGTTACAAACGATGACCATCCAATGCTGCCAATAATGAGCTTGTTGAATTGAAACGTGAAACTTGTTGGGTGCATCAGCAGTCACACAAGTGGTTGAAATTCAATCATTTGAGACAAGACTTCCATGTACATGTACATACATTGTACATTCAGTACATTGTACATGTACCATTTGGCATGAATCTTGGACTCGTGACGTGTTTCAAGTGCTCGGAATACAGTGTTCATTCCAGTTTAGTTGTCCTTTTCATCGCCGGTTGACCAGCAGCTGTGAAAGCTGTCAGCAGCAAAGCACTTGGAAAATTTGAACTCTTGGATGTCATAATCCAGGCTGTGTTGTTGTTATGGAGAAAAGAGTGCTAGCGGCAAGGCTTTGCTTCAGCCTCTCCGTTAAGACATATTGAGAGACAGGAACCCATTAACTTCCACTGTGTAGTACTACATGTCCATGTATCTCCAGGAAGACGGTTGGTGCTTTGAAGACTGGGTAACCTATTTCTTTGACATTTACGCGTGAAACTAGACAATTTGTGCCTCTCCGCCAATTATATTTACATGTAATAGGAACAGTTCCCGGGAACTTCTCATAATTCTGACAGACTTTCAAGTTCTTAGAATTCCTATTTTATTGGTGATGAAAATGCCCTGCAAGAGCAGAATACACGATCAGTCCCATTGTTCTCCATCGGGGATGTTATTTCATGTAATATCATTCCAATTTGCCAACGTCATGCATAGTCCTTGGTCAAAACATATTAAAAAGGAAATCGGAAGATTTTGCAAAACAATGGAATGATGGAATGTATAATGTACGGACATGTACAAGTGTACAAATGTACCTGCCTTTTGTCATAGTAAAATTAAACCGCCATTTTTGACAGAATTACAACAAATTAACCCAGGCTGTACCAGATCCTCCAAATCCACATGGACTTGGAGATTTTTCAGGATTGAGGATCTTCCCTTTTTTGACATGGATTTACCTATTGATATTTAAAGATGTAGTACCGCGGTCCCTCCCAGGATTAATCTAAGATGTCTTGCTGTGACGAAAGAAGACCTCTTGACTTCTGGAGGAGTTTACCTCCCCGGAGAAAGCGTTCAGAATGTTGTAGCTTCATGCAACATTGCAGCGTGGACTGTTTGGAATTTAGACCTGCTGTTTAAGACAAATTGAAATGTTCATGCGCTTGCCGCATACAATGTACATACAATTATTTTAAATATACTTGTACATGATGATGGACAGACCTGGCATTCACATAAATGCTGTAAACACATTGTCTTGCCATTCATGCAGTGCACTCTGTAAAGGTGATGTCATATGTTTCTTCAAAAATTCAAAATTTTGGCTGCCAGACATAAATTTGGCTCCTACAGGGTTTGTTATACACTTATGTGCACAAACTGAAAGCCCAGGTTTCACAAAGGGTAGCAGATGCCTGAAAATCGGAACAAAGTACTTGTTTTTCGTAAATACATACAAATTGAAAATTCGTTTGGAGAAAATTTTTTTTTTGAAGAGCAAGGGATATGCATTCTTTAAAGGCATATACATGTAAGATCATTTGCATTTATCCCACAAGTAACCTACCTTGTTATTTTCAAAAAAGCTTACTTGGATTAAAGATCATACTGGTACATGTACATGTACTAAACATCCGGAGAAATTATTCCATCTGGATTGCTGTCATTTAGAATGAAATCAAGAGTTGTTTGTGATTTCTATCGATCAGCTACTGTGCATAGGGTGCTTTTGAGGAATCTTTGGTTTAATTACCAATGGAAAACAATCATGCGGCATTTATTCAGTGCTACGTGTACATAGGATTGGGTCAAAGTTTGTTAAAAAGTGAATTTTTTTGTATGCATCGTTTATGTTTGTAGGGCTTAGACAAATACATGTATGTACGTACATTACAACTTGAATTGAAATTGACATGAATAGATTTTATTTACGAGTTGGCCATATTAAATTGAAAGCGAGGTAAACTCTTCATTTTTCAAACTTGCGAGTAGAAATGAAAGCAATGAAATGAAGCTTCATTACAAATTCTGCTCTGATGATTTGAAATTTGTGATTAAACATATCCTATGTTTTATGCCAAATTTAAACATAACAACTTGGGAAAAAAAAATGAAAGTGCGGCTTGGAATGCACTCCAATCATAAAATAGTCTGGCACCATCCCACTCAACAGTTTACAATTTATAAAATTGATTCAGGGAACATGATCCAAAATGGCTTCCTTGTGAATTTAAGGTCTACATTGCCAAGAGCTCTGATTGATTCAAGCATGCTTCCAACACCTAACAAGCACTAAAAAACAGTGTTTAATCCCAAACGCAGTCCATAAAACAAAAACTTGTCAATGGCACGACTTGTACATGTACAGTATGTTAGTTGTTACTCCCCTGCATACACATACTATGTATGTGTTATTGTTGCCTTGGGTCCTGCTTTGAATTTACTTGTTATTCAGCGAAGTGGCAGGAAATTAAATCCCGCCCTCTTTTTCTCTCCATTCTTCAACATTTTCCTTAATTTTTTCTCTCCGTTTCTAAACCTGCAGGAAGTTGGCAGCATCATAGGCAAGGTGAGTACAATGTACTTTTGTGTAAATGTCTTAGGCCAAAAAAAAAAAAAAAACTCCTTACTTTTTTCAAAAAGGCAGGACGCTAAAAATGTTTTTTAATTTTTTTATTTGGCCTTAGTGATGTGGTCCAGATTTCAATTTCAATCTGTCCGTGTGTCTCTTTCTTTCGTGAAAATGGAGAAGAGTGTTTTTGAGGGATTGAGTTTAGAGTGTGTCCAGTTTTTTTGTAGATTTTTAATTTTTTTTTTCCTGGGGACTTATTTGGCCTTAGCGACGTGGTGCAGATTTCAATTTCAATCTGTCCATGTGTCTCTTTCTTTCGTGAAAAGGAGAGCAGTGTTTTTGAGGGATTGAGTTTAGAGTGTGTCCTGTTTTTTTTATAGATTTTTTAATTTGTCTCCTGGGGACTCTGTGTTTGCTTTTTTCTTTTTATCATTTTTTTCAAAGAAATCGCAAAGACAAACTGACTAGGGGCATTATAATATTTTATCAAGTTGAACAAAAACATTGACCAAATGTGGAACCACCAACATACGCTGTGCATAGAGGGCTGGATAGCTCAGTAGGAAGGGCACCGAAAAAAAAATGCAATGCTTATACATGTATAGTGCTTTCCATCGTATCAACAATCTCAAAGCGCTTTACAATTATTCTCCCGTTCATCAGGCCACGAGACCACGCAGCAGCTGATATCAGCGCACATTCGGTCCTCTACCCTCACAGGTACCCATTCGTACTCCTGGGTGGAGAGAGGCAATTGTAGTTAAGTGTCTTGCCCAAGGGCACAAACACCATGTTCCTGGTGGGGTTCGAACCCACATGGGTCATTCCATGCCAACTCAACAAATGGTGCACACCATCACCTCTTGGATTTTTTTCTTTTTTGGTGTACTGAAAGATACTTAGGAGAAATGCAAATTCTGAAAATTTGGGGTCTCTACGACTTTTCGTTCTTGCGCAACAGCATTTTGAAATTTGAGGTGGGCGGGGCCAAAAGTGCGTCGCGTCACGAAATTCAATGTTTAAAGGGCCATATATTTAAAACTATACCCCCCAGACATTTCAAACTTGGTAATCTGGGCTATTTTTTGCTGTAGATTTCAAATATTTAAACAGAAAGAAAGTAGCTTGTTTCATTTTTAAGTTAGAGGGGCCCCAAAATGGCCCAAAACTCATCTGGACCAATGTTCGGGGGGGGGTGTAAGTCAAAAATTGAAAATATTTTTACCACCAAATTTTTTGCCTGTAATAGCCCCCAGTTGAAACTACTTTCATGTAAAATCTTACACTTATATTAACTTCATTGAATGAGATATAGCCCTTGCAAAAAGCAAATTGTTTATTTTTACGATAACTTGACCCCCCCAAAAACCAACGTCAGACATTCCGCACCAAATTTTGCTTCACATATGTTTGAGGTTGGTCCTTAGTGAAGTCCTCTGAAAAGTTTCATGTTGGTGTCTAAATGTCTTCAGTGGATAGCTGGGCTTTATAAAGAGTCTATATCTTATGATGCTGCAGGTTCCGTAACAATACATGTACATGCATGTACATGTACTTGTATTTTACGGAACCAGCACAACAAAATCCCCCGACTGTTGAAAGACTTGGGTCAAGACTACCCATTTCCTGCTCAATAAACAGTTGCTTGTAGACCTACGTATGCATTATTTGCAAATTAGGTTAAATGACTTGAGAGTCTTATTCTTTCCATGTGCTCATCACACAGCATGCATGTCATGTATACATTGTACACATGTAGTAAACCAGTTCTCACTTGCATAGTATAGCACTAACCTGAACCAAAGAGAAGTGATTCAGTTTGAGTAAAGGGTCTATGGTTTTAACCTGATTGATCTTAGTTTTCATTATGGATAAGGGGAAACCTAGTTCATGCAGGAAACTCATCATGCACCAATTGTAGCAGCTGACCTCAACCCAGGAAAATATGTTTGTGTGGTCTATATGATGATGTTTGGTACATTGCTATTGTAGAAGATGTATCACAACTTCATGAGGATGTGTATGTCTGCTTCATGTACAGGACGGAATCAACAAATACTCTCTATTGGCCACAAAGAGAGGATAAATGTAACATTCCATTTGTTGATGTGTTGTGTTGCGTACCAACACCAGAACTTCTACATAGCAGTGGAAGGCAATACAAACTTAGTGAGCCAACCATCATGCAACTCATTCAACTTCATCAAAACTACATGTACATCACAAGGAATGCATAATTTCACCTGTGAAACTGTAAACAATTATATCAACTGTCTACATGTACAAATGTAAGCTAAGTTTCATACCCAACTTATTCTTTATGTACCGACTGCTGTTATTCTACATTGTATGTACGTGTACATGTATGTTACGGAACCTGCAGCATCATAAGATATAGACTCTTTATAAAGCCCAGCTATCCACTGAAGACATTTAGACACCAACATGAAACTTTTCAGAGGACTTCACTAAGGACCAACCTCAAACATATGTGAAGCAAAATTTGGTGCGGAATGTCTGACGTTGGTTTTTGGGGGGGTCAAGTTATCGTAAAAATAAACAATTTGCTTTTTGCAAGGGCTATATCTCATTCAATGAAGTTAATATAAGTGTAAGATTTTACATGAAAGTAGTTTCAACTGGGGGCTATTACAGACTAAAAATTTGGTGGAAAAAATATTTTCAATTTTTGACTTACACCCCCCCGAACATTGGTCCAGATGAGTTTTGGGCCATTTTGGGGCCCCTCTAACTTAAAAATGAAACAAGCTACTTTCTTTCTGTTTAAATATTTGAAATCTACAGCAAAAAATAGCCCAGATTACCAAGTTTGAAATGTCTGGGGGGTATAGTTTTAAATATATGGCCCTTTAAACATTGAATTTCATGACGCGACGCACTTTTGGCCCCGCCCACCTCAAATTTCAAAATGCTGTTGCGCAAGAACGAAAAGTCGTAGAGACCCCAAATTTTCAGAATTTGCATTTCTCCTAAGTATCTTTCAGTACACCAAAAAAGAAAAAAATCCAAGAGGTGATGGTGTGCACCATTTGTTGAGTTGGCATGGAATGACCCACATACATTCATGAGTCAATCACCGTAACCACTGGACCATGGCATTCTACTTTGGAACAGCAAGTCCCAGGTTCAAACACCGCTCTAGTCAAATTTCATTTTGTTTGTTCGTTTGTTCTTTTTAAGGAAATGTTCCAACATTTCTCACAGTAAGTATACCACAGAAGAAAGTCTTGCCTATGTATACATCACATGAAATCTGTAAATGAATGCCATTGATATACACTGTTGTACAGGTTCGTGTCAAACCTGATCAATTTGCCTAATCGATGCCTGGTCACAAGGTGTTTTGAAACGCGACAATTCAAGAACATGTTAGGAGAAAATAAATATCTTCACAGTAGACATGTACCGGTAGGCGATGATTAAACTTTTTTGTTTCTGCCAAAAATTGTTAAATTTTGACACAAAACGTTAGTTTTCGATCTCTAGGTGACATTTATGTTTTCCTTGTACTAAAATACATGTATTGTACATGTACGTCCACTTAAAACTTACATGTACTATGCCTTTGTACTTTATTATCTGAGTAAAATGCTTTAATTTATGATGTTCATTTTACATAAAATAAATGTCATCCTTTTTTGTATTGCTGGTATGTTTTAAAAAACCATAGATTGAGAGATCACAAGGGTAGTTTGCATGAATGGCACCACTATTCCATGGGTTATCAGTTATGACCATATGGATACCGGTACATTAAATGGTGATAAATAAGCATGACAGCACGGTGAATTTGAAATAACTACAAATAAATGATACTTTGAAGTGTTACGATAGTGAAGCACAAATTACTGGGATTTGTACATGTTGTGGTACAAGATGTGAATAATGAGAACAGGATGTGAGAAATAAGTACATGGAACATGTGCAGCGCTGAGCTAGGTATAGGGACTTAATAGATCGGTGTTTGATCGAGAAATCTGTCTGGGTAAGCTCCTATTTGCAATGCCCAATTTGCGTCAGACTTAATTCCGCGGCCCACGTGGGAGGATGTTTGTGCTGAAAACAAACTCCCTATCGGTCTGCGAGCAGGTCAATTTCTAGCTATCCCCCCCCCCCCCCCCTAAAGGAGGGCATCATGAGATTGCTGTCTTTCTCCTCAGGACGGGATAATCCATTTTCATCCAAAGGGGTGGGGGTACTCAAGTAGCAAGCTGAGTTGAGCATCATCCCAGATGCACCTGTTTTTTGGGGGCCAGCAATGCGGTTGATTGGTTGTTGTGGTTCACTGTAGGTGATACAAGAGAAGAGGTGTCCAATTTCAGTTGGCTGTGGGAGTGTACTGATGTCTATTTTTTTTTCGAGTCGCCAGTGTTTGCATAGGGCCCATCTCTCTGTGGGACTCTCACTATCTCCTTCTTGTCTAGTGGGATCTTTGTGGCTGTAGATGTATTGCTCTTATCAGGAAATGAGGCTTCAAGGGGAATCTCAGTGACATTATGAAATTGGTGTCAAAAAGCAAAAGGACACGACTTATTCCCCTTCCCCCCATTTTTTTGAAACTTCTTTCCAGGGTCATACTGGTTTCAAATTCGTCTGGTTTATTGGGGGTACTTTGTGCCCAGTCTAGGGTAGCTAAAAGATTTTCTAACAAGGGACGTTGCTTTGAGATGAAAAGCTACACAAGGAGTTTTGACCGATCCTTTCTTTCTAATCCTGTCTGGCACGCTAATAATTATACATGCACAGTATATACATGTAGCACTGTGGGTTTGGTAAAGATTTCCACTTGGAAGCTTGCCGATATTCAGGGCTCAAAATACATTGCTTCACTGCCCCCCACTCCAACGCCTTGTTAGCGCAACTGTACACAATGTACATTGACTTGTGGATTAAAACAGTTTTCTATACCTTGTTTTTATGGTCAGGTGTTCCCTCTTAATCGTAAGCTTATGCCCTAATGAGCAGCAGGGGCTTAGACCTTAACCATTCGATATGTAACCTTCAAATACACTTTTTTGGGACGACGTGACCATGAACTTCATGTGACTGTAAGACATCGGGACGACCGCTGCATGCTCTGCGGTGCACTAATTAAAAAGATGACTTATTTAGGGGGACTGATGTCTGCAACAGACGCACTGTGCCATCCTAATCAAACATTAATGGGCAGTGGCAGGTTGTGTAGTTGGGTGAACTAAAGATGTTTCCCATCCAGAATGTTTTCTTTTCTTATGTTTCAAGGACGTCATTTCTGTCTGTCCTTGATTGCTGTATACATACATGTACATGTACAGTACATGTATGGAAGACCATGGGAAGACATTAACTCTTGGTACATGTTTTTACATTTTTTTTTAGACTTATAATGCTGAATTTGTACTTGTTCTTTTTTTCAAAACTGAGGTTGGTGAGTAGTGTTGATGTCAGTCACAAGTACATGTAAGTCATATGTCTGAATTTGATAAAATGTACCGGTACGGACACTTGATGCAAGATGGCAACCTTCTTATGATAATGATGTCAAAGGTCACATACCAAGGTCAAAGGTCATCTGAGGTCAAGTTGTAAAAGAGGCTGAACATGTAAAATTGGTCTCATTTGAAAAGTTGAAGTTTATATGGAACCAAACTTGGGTCATAGTTGCAACATGATAACCTTCATATATAATGATGTCAGAGGTCACATACCAACGTCAAAGGTTATCTGAGGTCAAGTTGTAAAATAGGCTGAAAATGTAAAATTGGTCTCATTTGAAAAGTTGAAGTCAATTTGGAACCAAACTTTGGACATAGCTGCAACATGGAAACTTTCATACTGATTAGTCACTCTTTAAAGATATAATTGCGAAAGCAGGCGAGACACATGGTTCGAGAGCCATCTTGTTGAAATTTTGAAAGAGGGCGGTACCATTTGTATGGCTTGGAATGTTGTATTGTTTCCATAATGTAACTAAGACAAGCACCCTTTTTATTCGTTGGCTAACAAACGATTAAAAGTGAGTTCATTTTTGAAATTTTGAAGGGGGCAGTTTGTATTAGGTGGATTTAGCCGGGGACTGACATAATTAAGTAGACATAACATACGTTGTACGTACACTACATGGTACCTTTGATGAGTATCTGCGTATACAGACGCATCATTCCGCCTCATCACTCAGTGTTTCCACTGAGTGGAATCCCCTCTTTATAATTAGACCAAACCAACCACAAAATGCAGTCCACACAATCCAAACAAAGGTCGCTGAAAATTATACTCATGAGACCTGATGTTCTATAGTGCTCTATCCAATCCAGACTTTCCTCAATCATTTTGACATCAGAAAGGTCACTCAATATTTACTCTGCCCGGAGGTAGTATATTGTTGTCCATGTTATATGTGACAGTTGTGTGGGTTTGGTAGGCATTGCTGGCTGCACTTATTTCTCGAGGCTTTACTGTCCATGTACAATGTAGATAGACACCCAATCTACGTATGGCCAAAAAAAAAAAGTCTCCGGTTTCTGGTATGCGCGCGCGTCGCCGTAGCCATGCGCGTCGGCAAAATGAATTTTTTTTTTTTTCAATGAAAGATGATGTCTCAAAACCGCCAAACTCACTGGTTTGACTGTAATCCTGCTGCTGCACAATTTTAACGTGTTTCTAGATTGGGTTATGGTCGAGAATAAGCTTTATGTGGCCTCTCTGGACTCCCATATATTTGCACTAAGTTTAGTCGGGCACCATTTGCAGTCGACATTTGAAGCCAAAAACTCAGGTAAAAAAACAAAAGAAGCCGCGTCGCCGCACCACTTTTTGGGCAAGCTCCATACCAGAAACCGGAGACTTTTTTTTTTGGCCTATGTCATTTTTTCTTCTATCTTGAGTGGCGGATACTCAGCGATAGTCCTGCGTAGAGCTGGCACCGTCGAGTGGCTTGTTATGAAGGCATTCTATCTTCCTCCGGAAATCAAGGAAGATAGCAAAGATGAGGAATTAGGTTTCTCGTGATTGTGATTTGTGTCTTTCGTAAAATGAGACACAGTTCGATTGGGATGACTCAAAATTTGTCAAATCAGATACTTAAAAAAAATTAATTAATGGAACAATCCGTGGAAGTTTCATATAGAAAACCCAAACATTTCAGTTTTGTAGTGATTGCAAAATTAACTTAATGGAAAGATTCATGTAAGTCTGTTAAATTTACATACATTTGTGAATTTACTTTGTCGGTTCAATCTAAATTGATATTGTACATGTACATCTGAAAATTGTGTTGATACATGCATTTACATGTATGTAGCAGAAACACGACATGTTTTTATTGTACAGTATATGCATGTACATACACATACACATGTACATGGGCAGAACTTTGTCTTGTATGTTCACTGAGAATTTCTTCATCACGTGCATTTACATGTATGATTTGTACAAGATGTGCATTCAAAGTGTTAAGTGTTGCTGTTTGGTAAAATAATCGCACACTTCTGATCATTCATTTCATTTATTTGTGTGTTTTTTCTCACAGAATGGTGAAACTGTCAAAAAATTCAGAGCAGAGGTGAGTGAAACTGGAAAGAAACTAACTTCTTAATTTTTATTACAAAGTCCCACTTGATGTTTGCTGTTTCATAACTTAAAGAGGTTGTGGAATGCTTGAAGACATTTCCGTCATTTTTCGGGTATATGTAGCCTAAGGTGTAGTGAAATAAAAACAACTATTGTGTCTGTCATGAAATGAGTACAAAAGCTACTTTTGAGAGCTGTTTTCAGGTCCTGTTTCAAACCGGACGTGCAATTTGTGTAAAAGTCGTCGTTGGGGGCAGCAAACAAAACATAGTAAATCGTGACGTAATAAACAGGACTCGTTTATACTACGCTGCATCGGGAGTCCTGTTTATTACGTCACGATTTACTATGTTTTGTTTACTGCCCCTAACGACGACTTTTACACAAATTGCAAGTTCGGGTCGAAACAGGACCTGAAAAACAGCTCTCAAAAGTACCTTTTGTACTTATTTCATGTCCGACACAATAGTCGTTTTCATTTTATTACACCTTAGGCTACATATACCCGAAAAATGACAAAAATGTCTTCGAGCATTCCACAACCTCTTTAATCGGTTCGTTAGTGTGGCGTCAATTCAGTTTAAACCATGCCCACTGGCCATTAAGTAGCATTGGGGAACCATTAAAACCGGAAGCTAACGCAACTTGAGTGTTCATCCAATGGGCGCTAGTAATCAGTGGTGCACGCGCAAATACCGGTATGACGTTTTTACTTACAAACCGGATAAAGGACGAAAATAAAATTATGTCAGAGGCCCCAGTTGTTATGAAAAACATTTTAAAACCAAATTTTGGTATAACACACTTTTGTCATGTAAATGTACATCTTTACACGTTTGTATCAGTGCATCATTAAGTATGATGATTGCTTTTCTATCCTTTATGTACTTGTATATTTGATTTGAGGGATGCCTTTCAGTGTTTCAGGGCACCAAAATATATTGGTACATTTTGTAACTCTTTCATCAGAATAGAGCCCCGGACATTATGCAGTCTTCTTCTTTTTTTTATCAAGATGTGCTATCAGTGCATTAGTCACCAGACTACTGTGGCATTTGTGAAATAAACCATGACTTTCATTGGAATGGCATTTTAAGTGCCGTAAGGAGAATACATAATGCCTTTAAAATATGGGCATGTACCGGTACATGTATGAGAGAATTCTAAATCAGTGGTTTTGTTCATGTTCAGTGTGAAACAGAATCTGAATCTCAATCAGTAAATTGATTGAAAGGATTGGATCAGAAAGTATTGATATTCATTTTAGCCAATCCAATTCATTTCGACTAATTTTCTAATGTTTTGGCCAGTGTTTCCCCAGGCTAATGAACTGAGCAAGGTGGTAACAATTCAAATTGACGATTGAAACAAAATTTACAGTCTGCAAACCGAAAAGAATGCAGCGCTCAGAAAAATGCGCGATGATTCCAAAAACACATCGATATTGTGAGTTCTTGATACATGGAGGTCAAGGAAAACGCTCATTAATTACACAAAATGAAATTTTTCCCAATTGATATTTCCTTTATTGTAAATCTTAACAGCGAGGTGGTGATATTGGCAAAAATTGAGCGAGGTGGTCACGGAAAGTAGCGAGGTGGGCCGCCTCACGTTTGAAAGGGCAGGGGAAACACTGGTTTTGGCTGTAAAGTGTATGTTAACAAAATATGAATGTGAAAATCGATTGAATTGATTGATTGATTGAGAAAGAATTGGTACTTATTGATAAGTGGATTTTAATAATTCATCTTCATTAATTTTCTGACTTCATGTGAGCCCCCTTGTGTTGATGGCATGTTTATCTTGCTTGTAAATGATTTCCAGATTTGTTTCTGAGCTCTTTTCTTGTTCCTTCTCTGTCTTCAGAGTCAAGCACGAATCAACATCTCAGACTGTTCGTGTCAAGAGAGAATCGTCACCATTTCTGGATCCCCTGAATCAATAAACGTGGCATTTTCTCTCATCACAAACAAGTTTGAGTTGGTAAGGCATTTTTTTTTGGTTAAGAATGCGATCCCTAGCACCTACATTTTGTAAATACTTCCCTTAGGATAAAGCTCGCCAGTTTAACTAGCCCCGTTGATTTTCTCGGCTGTTGGTTTTTTAACTGTGGATGTCTGAGTTCATTATGGAGATGGCATCATGTAAAATGTGTGGAACAGCAAACAAAACCCATTCTCTTATTAGTTGTGCTGAATTGTACTGCACTTGTAGTCGGCGGAACAGATATAATTTTCTTTCATGAACAATATTGTGTCGGGATTTGCATTCATGACGACTGCTTGACTACATGTAGACTGCTTGTCTAGATCTCATAGGGACAGTCTTGGCGAGTAAAGCCGCTTAGTAAGGAGGATTTCAAAAAAAGTTTGTGAAGAAAACATCCGATTGCCCACATTAAGTTGCATTAGTGAGAAACTAATGATATTTAACTTGACGGTTTAACCCATGAGTCCCTGAGCTGCTCCAAACCACCCAGCCGGATGGAACTGCCCCAAAACTTCCCCAGCACTGTAAGACTTCATAGATTCATGAGTGAATAAATATAATGGATACAATGTAATACAATGTAATACAATGTAATACAATGTAGTGCAATACAGTACAGTGTAATACAATGTAACACAGTGTTGCTAATTGCTTAACTTTATGTTTGGTCCATTACAGGATTTGTCGACCAATCCAAATAACAACACTCCTAGCGGGGCCCCTAAGCCACCGGTCACACTAAGGCTGATAGTACCGGCCAGCCAGTGCGGATCGCTGATCGGGAAAGCTGGCGCCAAAATCAAAGATATCCGAGAGGTATGTGGAAACAAGAGATTAATTAGACTGGGCTTACTTACATGTAGTCCAGCTAGCTGAGCAAGGAGGTCTCAGTTTTGAACCTTGCTTGTCCTCAGTAAATCAGTCAGTCTGTCAGTCCGTCAATCAGTCAGTCAAGTGGAAAATAAACGGGCCCTTCAGGTTCCGCCAAAACAAATACAAAATAATGAGTAATACCGCAACCATTTGGCCAGTGACAAGCTCGTTAAAATTTGTGAAATTTTTGTCGTGTGCATTATGCACGGAATTACTCATTGAATAGTTCCAACAAACAATGAAGTCCTAATTATGTCAAAGCATCATGACGTCACTCTTCAAGACATGAGTTCACTGTGGGGCCTTTGCATTTTTATATGTTAATTTTTATGGGAATATGACTTTGTTTTAGGTTCAAAGTGTTTGGCTGAATGAAACATGTATAAATATGTATGGGATTTGGGGGAGAACAAGAAGAAGAAAGAAAAAAAAGGGGGAAATGTTAACAAAGCAAAGACATGACAAATTACATGACATCCTACATGTAATTATCTCAAAGCACTCACAGTAAGTAACACATCTTGCTTCTTATATTTTTGTGGAAAATGGCCCACAATAGAAAACATTTTTTCCCCCGATTTTTTCTTCTTCTCAGTGATGGGTAGAGCTAATTAAATACATTGCACAATCTACCTGAGTTCATTGTACATGTTCCCTGCCATTTTGCAAGGATTCTAAAACCACCGAATCCTTTTCATTTGAAAGTGAAAATGCATCTGGTCAAAAAGGAAACAATCAATGCCAGGCAATTTCTGAAATTCCGGGATTCAGAAAGAAAAAGCTCTTTTTATTTATTTACCAGGCATCAAAACCAAAGCCACCATCCCCGGAAAAAAGATTAAATCACCCCAACAGTGCATTTCTCTTTCGTTGTTTTTCTTCTTCCCCCCCCCTTTATTTTTTTTAAAACTGAAGTAGCTCAATTGATCCAACAGCTGGGGGAGCGTTCAGCAAACTAATTGAGTTTTGTACGGCGACTTGTCATTGGTTAATGAAATAATGGGGGGTAGTGGCAGCAGCTGGCGTTCGGCAAGCAAGTCCTCCAGATAGACCTCAGTGAAGGAGGAGCCGCCACTTGACTTGAAATTACAGGCCAATTGTGATAAAATGATAAATGGTTACTGCGTTGCCTGATCGTTCTGCGGCATACAACCATGGGAATTGAAATTGAAAGGGATTTTATACTTTGTAGTTTTATTGTTTATCTTAGCAAAGGAAAGTTTATTGTGTGCTAATGTAAATGAGTCGTTTTGCACAAGGTGAGTCAAAAAGAGAGTGACCAAATTTGAAACAAAATATTGTTTAAAAAAGATATGTGGCTTGCTCTATTTCATAAAAATAACATAGGGCTGAAGTACATGTTATTGACTAGTAACTGTGAGTAACTGAAAATGGCACTTAAGTTGCATACTCTATTCCCAAGTTATGACTATTTTAATAAAAATATCACAACATTCAGCTGTTTACCACTGATCATTTACCGTTCTGCGAACTGATGAATACCCATTAAATATAATGAAACATGGATGTTTCCACCAACATGAATGAATGAAAACTTGCAAAGTAAAAAAACACACTCAATTCGCTGTCAATTTTTCAGGAAAAAAAAGAGTGGACTTGTTCCTCGTGTTCAAAACACAAAATGTGAAGTACAGTAAAAAATAATATTTCAGTCTTGACTCAAATGATTAAAATCCCATTTGTACTTGTGCTTGTGTGTAATCTGTAATTCTCACTCAGCTCAATAGCTTTCAATGGCATTCCATGGACAGCTATAAAAATGGGTTCTTTTAGTAAAACATGTGTAACTTCCGATAGCATGGAACAATTTAAGCAATTCCTTCTTTTTCTTTTTTACATGTAGATGAGTGGAAGAACATGCTCTTTTAAGACATACCGGTACTTCATTTCATGTACTAAATTTGATTGCTTTAAAAAAAAAAATCCTTAATCCAGGTCACTTTCTTTTTGACTCATCCTGTACTTGTACATGTACATGCATACATTGTGTCAACTGAAATACATGTAGAGCAAAATAAGAAATCTTCATTGTAGAATACTGCAAATAGTAATTCACCCCTCAGTTTTTTGATATGTTACTGGTAAAGTGAAATCTTAAAAAAAAAATTCTTGCTACACATACATGTACGGTAAAGCTGTGATTTACCGTCAAATATGAATTAGAATTCGCACCAAGTTGCAGAATTATGGAACAGATGGTGCCAATGTGAGCAACATGAATAATTGAAAAAAAAAACGTCACTAGTGGATGACAAATTGACAAACTTATTGAAAAACAAAAAGATAAGAAATGTAGCAAGCGCAGTCATGGGAGAATGTGATAAATTTAATATAAATTTTACAATGCGTTTTGTAATTGTTCGCACTTGGCACAGATAATCGCCATTTTGATATTGCACCCCTTGCGTAGAGCGCCCTCATTGAGGGCAAGTCGTTCCTCTGTGATAAATAAACAAATAAATACATTTTGGGAGGCCTCTCGTCCTTACTCGCAGCAGAAGCTGAATTCTGCAGGACGCTGCTACAACATGGTCGAGCCGAAGGCATGCAAAGGTACCTTAGGCAGCTGCCATATGTGACCCATGTCATTCCATGGAGCACAGCCCGATCAGAAGTGTTGATTTCTGCTGAGGGAGGAAAACCGGAAAACCCGGAGAAAAACCCTTGTGGCACAGGAGAGAATCAAAGAACAACTCTACTCACTTATGACCCGAGCCGGGAATCGAACCCTGGCCACAGCGGTCAGAGGCGAGCGCTTTACGCACTGCGCCATCCAGGCCTCGCATGATACGCATGAATGGACACTGTAGTCACATGTACATGTACATGTCACTGAATGAGAAAACATCCTTGCTAGGGATCTGTTCTTGATCAATTTTGCCGAACCATCCAACGATCAGAGAATTTGATTGTCGTTTTGACCTGCTTTCCCAACAGACCACAGGGGCATCAATACAGGTTGCCAGTGAGATGCTACCAAACTCCACAGAAAGAGCCGTAACGATCTCAGGAACACCAGAAGCAATAACTAAGGCTGTCCATCACGTCTGCCGCGTTATGCTCGAGGTAATTCTACAACAAACACCACTTTACGGAGCAATTTTCTACAACAAACATTCCCCTTGTTCGCAAGTACACACGTTTATATAATATTGGATGGTTTTGAGGGGGATACAAGAATATATTGCACAAGCTATAATAATATTGGCACGTGTCGAAGATGAGTGCAATATTGTTATATTGAGGGCAATATATTCTTGTATCCCCCTCAAAGCCATCCAATGTTATACAAACGTGTGTAAAAGGGGGTCGAACCTGTGTCCACAGGAACGAGTGCCCATCTCTCTTTTGAAGCGATTGGGGCAGACTCGAGTCCATGAAATGCTGCTGTGGGGGGATCGCCACACCTCCACAGCGAGTCTGTTACCTTCCCAGCTTTGAATAATGCCGTACCCATTTAACACCTGGGTTGAGAGGAGTTATTGAGGTAAAGCGCCTTACTCAAGGGCACACCCACATGGCCACTGCGGGGCTGGATCCCACAATCTCACAATCATGAATCACATGCTCTACATGTACACTGCTAAAAACAGTGTTTTTAAAAAGTAGAACAAATCTCATTTCAAGGAAAATGTTCTTGTCTCACTCCCTGGAAACGTTTTCTAGGTAGTGAGACAAACTATTTCTAGAAATACGAATTATTTCCTTATATTCAGAAAAGTAAGATATCAATTTTAGCAGAGTAACTGTGTGTAACTGAGTGAGGAGGTTAGTGAGGCCAAGCTCACTCCACTTTCAGACTGAAACTGATTTTTTTTTTAACCTTACGCCTCGTAACAGATAAGTTTCTTCCTTGTTAACCTAATCCAGACATGACAGTAGAACTTATTCATTTTGTAGATTTTAGTTTCTGTTTCTGATTCGGCTGAAAGTCATGAGATTGAACATTCTACAGGGTGAGTCAAACAAAACAAAACAAAACCCAAATGTCAGGACCATTGTTTTAGTGAAGTTCTGCATGTAGCACTTTCAAAATCTAGGATATGAAAGCCCAATTCATAAGTTTTCTTTTAGTACAAGAATCATTCAAATCACTCACATCCTTTTCAAGTTACGGAATTTTAAACACAACCACCGTTTTAAAGTTCTGTCCAAGGATCACGAAAAAGGTGTGCGTTCTATCAGCAAAACGAAAATCATTCACACACATCCCTATGTGAAATGTTTTGGGCATGCTAAAAGAACACTTCCTTTTTGTGATCTGTGGAGAGAACTTTAAAACGGTGGTTGCGTAAAATTCCATTACTTGAAAAGTATGTGAGCGATTCGAATGATTCTTGTACTGAAACCAAGCTGATGAATTGAGCTTTCATATCCTAGATTTTGAAAGTGCTACATTCAGAACTTCACTAAAACAATAGTCCTGACATTGGGTTTCATGTTTTTTTGACTCACCCTGTATTTTACACATGGATTTATGGGCCACGGATGCTTAACCCAATGAAAACAACTCTGCTTTGGTCGTTATTTTTCATGTTAATGATGATCCTCATGTTTTTATTGTCTCTAGTCGCCACCCAAGGGGGCCACAATCCCCTACCGACCCAAGCAACATTCAACTTCTATCATCTTTGCTGGCGGTCAGGTACGTTGGCAAATTATCGCAGAAAACTACAAAAGTTATCAATATCATCCCTTCTTCTTACTGTAATTTTTGGTTTTTGTTGTAAGCTTTCAGATGTGTTGTTTTCTTTTAATTGATTCATGAGGCAGTTACGCAAGATCGTCATTTTTGGGGGTTTCTGGGGGGGGGGGGGAGGGGGTGTACTTCTTGTTTTGTAATTTTGTTATTATTTTTCAGATGTTAAATTTACCTCTTCGTAATTTTTTTATGAGTGATTTTGATGGTACTTGGTTTTGCCAATTGCGTGTGAATTCCTTGTTGAACAAAACACATTGCAATATTCTATACGTCTACAACTGCATCTTCTCCACTTTTTTTGCAGGCATATGCAGTTCATGGTAACTATGCTGTGCCACAACCAGATGTCGGGAACCAGGTAAGAAGAACCCAGCACTAACGTATCCGTCTTATATTTCATGGCAATTTCGTTTCCAAATTTGCAAGGATTGTATTCAATGGTTGGGCGCACGAACGCAAGCTTCGAGGTAAACATAATTCTTGGAATTGAATACACTACTGTTCTAATTTATTCCACTGAAAAAAAGTTCCCCCTTTTTTGCTTAATTGTTGTCGACCCATTTGCACCAAATAACTAAACCCCCAGCAGCACAAGAAATCATTATCTTCACCCATCTGACCCCTCCCTGGCCTCCCTAGCACACTGAAAATTGAAACCAGTGAAACTTTTTGTTGAACAGCTTCACAAAAACCTTCATTTTGCCTCCATCTTGTAGCTTGAGTGTCTAAAGATGAGTTCTTAATCCACAGGCAAATCTTAAAAAAAACACGATTTTCTTGACTGTAAAACCCAATTCTGTAGGCCCTAGTTTCATTACATGACGAACCTACACAAACGTCCTTCCCAATAACCCCCCTGCACACATTACTGGAGGAAAGAAGTCACCAGACCTAACCTCCGACCTTTGACCTTCCCGTATGTGGTCTTGTTTCAGTTGTCCAAGCTGCAATATGCCATGCAACACACAACCACCCCCTTCATCCCAGGGCAGTCCCATTTTCCTGCAGGTATGTCAAGACTCTCTCTCTCTGTCACTCTCTCTCTCTCTCTCTCTTGCCATCCTCTTTCTGTTGCCATGACGACCCTCGTCCTTTGTAGGAATGTCCTTTCCATCATGCATTTCATATATTTTATGTTAAATTTAATCTTTGTTTCCAATATTGTTTCAAAATGTTGACCCTTTCTCTGTGTATCTTTCCAAAAATGTGAAGTGTGTACATGTTAGATTGGTGTTATACTGACGAATAAAGCCTGCCTGGATTTCTCTCTACCTGTAAACTGGGGCCATTCTGTTAAGATGCACATATTGTGCCAAATGTAGATGTATCGCAATCATTTCTTAACTTTTAATTATAAGTTGACAGTTATACTTACATGAACAGCACATTCCCAAGTCTCTATACACGAACAGCACATTCCCAAGTCTACACTACCCTCATGTAAATCAGTTGTTTGTTTTTCCAGATACTGAGGGGAAACAAGACTAGAACTGCCTAGAAGAGCTTGGCTCTTGATTCCCAGTTCAAGATATTGTTTATACTCCTTTAACTCAGTCAGTCAGTCAGTGACTCAGTCAGAGGATAGAGGCTGGGCCTTTGGTTCCAAGCAAGAACCGCTCTTGGAACCTTTTTGGAGCAGTTTGTCAACTGCCTTCCCTTCCTCGCCATGTCCCATCGGTTGTCAATGAGTAACCCTTGTTTGGTCATTCCACACTGTAGGTGCAATACAGCAGTATAGCGCCGCTGCTGCTAACACTGTGCCAGTAGCACCAACCAACCAACAGACTCACGAGATAACGATACCGAACAGTGTAAGTCAATCCATTATGTGCCTTCCAGCTTCTTCTTGGTAGTGTTGATTCAAAAGGTGATGCTTATTTCACAGAGGTTATTCACATGTGAGATGTTTTCATTATGTTGTGCCCGTTTCCCAATAAGTGTTAGATATTGCCAGGTTGTCCCCTTGTAATCTCTTTAACACATATCCAACTGAGAGTCTTGTTGCATAGGCAAATCTTGATTAGGTTAATTACAATTAATGATATTGTGATTTAGACATACAAGTACACACATGCCATTGCTTTCAAAATATTCAATTTTGGTTTGCTTTTTAAAATCTGTCTTTCTACGGGAAAGGTGTATAACCTCATTTAAAGGTCAACTTGCATTTGACCTTGATATGATTGAAATTTATATCTGGTGGATTGGTTGAATTGTCAGTAAGGCCCCCCAAAAAAGTCTCCGGTTTCTGGTATGGAGCTTGCCTAAAAAGTGGTTAAAATTGTGCAGCAGCAGGATTCCAGTCAAACCAGTGAGTTTGGCAGTTTTGAGACATCATCTTTTATTGAAAAAAAACTTTTTCATGTTGCCGACGCGCATGGCTACGGCAACGCGCGCGCATACCAGAAACCGAAGACTTTTTTGTTTGGCCTAATCTTCAGTTAGAAGAGCGATGTGCCTTATTTGCTTCTTAAATACTTATATATAAGAAAAGAAATACTCTTTTGCTTTTATCTTTTAGGTTATCGGCTGTGTCATTGGAAGACAGGGTAGCAAGATCCAAGAAATAAGGTAAGGTCGTGTTGAACTGTGGATCAGCAAACTTTCACATTCAATCTTCTATGAAAACAAAAAAGGGTTGGGCATTTTCAGTCATGAAGGACCATTGGATCGTTTCCGCCAAATCTAAAAACACATTGTTTTTCTTTGTTCTGTGTATTCTGAGAAATTTGGAAGGTAATAGTTGCTCAGTGATCAGATTCTGTGTCTTGATTGGCCGAGAGTATGTCACATGGTAGTCGCTATTATATTGTACACTGCCAAGACGACTATACCACGGCAGGCCCGCTCTGACAAGCACTGTATGCATGGCTTCGAACATAGCAAAAGGAGATCTGTGTGTTTGTGTAGCACGTACTCTCATGCCGTTCGGAGTTGTGTACTAACATTTCTTAAAGGTGTAGTAGATTAAAGTCAATTTTACACTCAAGTCAAATTGAAATTGAAGTAAATTTGTTTTGGATTTTTGGTTTAAGTAATCAGATATCTCGAAAAATAAGCAGAATCTGTGAGAGAGGTGTTAGAAACAAACATTGGTGGTTTTAACGTGTGGTTCAGTAAAACAAGCCTCCCTCGGTGATCCATGGAGCGTTGCATTTTCCCTCAACATCAACACAGGAAACTAGAACGTTGCATGGATCAGGTCAGAGGCTAGTTTGCCACACTTCCCGAAGCAGCCAATATTTGTATACCACGTCCCCTGTGCACTTTTCTGTTTGTATCTCGACAGACAACTATCGGGAGCAAACATCAAAATCAACGATGTCAAAGAGGGCAGTCCGGACCGAGTTGTGACCATCACTGGCCAGACAGACAGCATTGCTTTTGCCCAGTATCTCATCAATTTCAGGTAAGTTTCTCAACTTAACATTCGAGTTCTAATGGACTGCATGGTTATAACCAAGTCCGCCCAAGTCCTCTTGTGTCCCGTGAGCGCAATAGGAGCACGGAATAATGTAGTGCGTCTTCATGGAACGCAGAGCGGCACTACATTTTCTGTGTTCCATGACCCCGAGTGGGACAACGAACTTATCTTCAAGCAAACTTGACGCACAGTACGCGCTGTGCGCTGTACAGCGGTTGTCCTATTACACATGCATGCAGCAGGAATTGTGCGAGCATCTTGGAATAGCGCGATACACGGAGTGCGTAATGGACCGTGTGCCATGGATTGACCAATCAGCATCGAGGATTCAAGTTTGCTTGAAGATAAATATACACAATGGTTACGAAAGAGACAGAAGGCGTGCTTTTGGGAAGGCAGTTCAACTGGACAAAGTAATGGACCGACACTGTTCCCTGTTCATTCAGTCTTGAGACTGATCACATCACTCGCTATCTATTGATGACAAAGACGAAATTGGAGTACTTCAAAATCTTGATGAGAAAGAGGAGATCATCTGTAAAATAATTTCAGTATTGAGGATATTCCTGAGTTTTTTTTTTTTTTTTATGTTGACGAGTAGTCAAGACATGCATAAAAATAGAACAGGTACATCATCCAGTTTTTTTAGTTAAACTTTCAAAATATTCTTGTCAAAGGTAGGTATTTTGAACTTTGCAGCATTCAGTGACTTTAGTGTATTGAAATACATCATTGCGCCATGAGGTTTTTTTTGTTTATTACCCGTAGAAACATTTTTCATGTTAGTACATGTAGAAGGCACCAAGGGCATTAGGGCAGATAAAATTCTTTCTTTTTTCTAAATCCTAAGGCCAAAAAAAAAAAGTCTCCGGTTTCTGGTATGGAGCTTGCCCAAAAAGTGGTGCGGCGACGCGGCTTTTTTTTTTTTTTTTTACCTGATTTTTTTGCTTCAAATGTCGGCTGATGACTGCAAATGGTGCCCGACTAAACTTAGTGCAAATATATGGGAGTCCAGAGAGGCCACATAAAGCTTATTCTCGACCATAACCCAATCTAAAAACACGTTAAAATTGTGCAGCAGCAGGATTCCAGTCAAACCAGTGAGTTTGGCGGTTTTGAGACATCATCTTTCATTGAAAAAAAAACTTTTTCATTTTGCCGACGCGCATGGCTACGGCGACGCGCGCGCATACCAGAAACCGGAGACTTTTTTTTTTTGGCCTAAAGCACAGTTTTTTCATTGTCATCGTAGAGTTCCGTGTTTGAAGTTCATGCATTGTAATTGCTGAATAGAATTAAGCCGTACATATTCAGTTGTAGACAACCATCATGCACACATGTAAATCAGATGGCAGATAAAGTATCATTTTGTTAGTGTGTCAAAATTTATGAATTTGTTGGTTTGTCCATCCCAAGACTACATGTATGGTTAAAGGACCCATGCAATGTAATTTTTTTAATACTATCCTTGAAAATTCACCTTTGTGTCCCATTTAACCTTATTTTCAATTTTTGTTTTGCCATTTTCAAGGGTAATTTGGTGCCTTTTTGGTGTTTATGATAATGCAAATTTCCGTATTCCTGAACAAAACTGTGATGTCATTCCAGGCAGAAACCTCAATGTTACAGCTATTTCAGCAAAAACAGTAACTTGAATTTTGGATATTTTGCTGTCATAAAATATTCCCCTTTTTTTTGTGATTCGTTGTTGTGCAAGTACATAGCAGTAAGCCAATGAGCAACCCTTTCTCACAAATGTTTTCAATGAGCAAATTTTGGGTTCACAATTTGAACAGAAAACCCCGACGCTGAACAGTGTCTTCCTGAAATGACATCATAGCAACAGCTCCCTCAGTTGTCCAGAAAATCATGGACAATTTCAAATGTTTAAAGAAGTGCACTGGTTTTTAACCAAAAAGGGATGTCAAATAGTTTTCATACATTTAAGAGTAGTAGAAAGTTGCACAAAATGTATTTGGAGAAAAATTCATCGCATGGACCCGTAAATACTTTGAAAAGGGAAGTTTGTGCTTTCAAGATTATTAATACTGATAAGGTTAAAAGGAACAGCCCTGAACATCACAATGAGACATTAATACAAGACTTGTATGTTACTAAGCATGATCAACATTTGTATGATTCAGTTAATGGTATTCTTGTTTTTCACTTTGAAATAAATAATTAAACAAAAATTCAATTAATCAAAAAATAATCACTTAATAAAGGTATCGAGAGACATAAACAAAATGGCTGAAAGAAATGTTTAAATTTGATTAAGGTCGGTAATTGTTATGGCTTGATTCAATGGAAGATTAATTATATCATACTTTCTGAAAATGCCTCTTGTTTCGCTGGTGAATTAGCAATTAACAAACCCTGGTGAAGGAGCTTTCAGGGCAAATGCCCAGAATGTCTGCGGAATTCTGTCTTCACCTGACTTGAAAGTCTCTTGACCAAATCAAACCCCTCCAAAGCTGCACTGTTTTGACAAGTTGCAGGCATATCAGGTTTGCATTTGGTAGACCTGGTTTTTTTTTTCAACAGAAAGTGGTTATCATTTAATGAATTGTACAGAAAAATGGGGTCATTCTGTAACTCTAGGGCCCAAAGTGCGACAATTTTCCTGCCTCTGTTACCTCTGATCTTAGTGATTTGCCGTTTAAAATGACTTCAAACTGTTTCTAACTTGCTGGATAGGTAGTTTGCTTTACAAAACCACTCTTTGAAGGGAAGGCAAAAACAAAAAAGTGCAGTCAAAATTGACAAAGTCATAGATGTCAGGTGTAACACGAGCAGGAAGAAAGTGGACCCCAGATTTATAGAATGACGCAATGGATGTGCAATTCTTCAACCCAGGGGGAGATTTGCAGAGAGGCTTGCGCAATCGTTAATGGTGACAACAAGTTTTCAGTTGCAGCTGTTTGAACTGGGCGTGCGCACTTCTAAATTTGACGGTTATCATTTGTAAATAAACAATAAAAGTTCTTGTTCTAAACCGAGTGCACATTTCAACAGCTTTGGACAACACCATACTTTTAATGTGTTTTAATGTCTTGCAAATTATAGTTTCCATATTCTTTTTGAATGCACAAACTAAATTGCAGAATAACCTTTTGACCCATAGACTTGTGTGGGTTCGTCTGCTGCGTTTATCCCAGTGTTAAACTTGTCAAATTACATTGTGCACATGCACAGTTGAAATGCTAAACTGGCTAATATTGACGATGAAGACTCCGGTTTTGTACATTTACACCGTCCTGTGCAATGACCTTTTTAAAATTCTGATCAATGCCTTGCAAACCTGCAGAGTTTTAATCAAGACAAGAAGTCAGCTCACACTTATTACGGGGAAGACCAATTCGCTCTTTTCACACTTCCGCCATGGGCATGCAGAGCCTCGATCTGGCAACTTAACACAATAAATATAACCGGTTCAGTGATTCCCGTGTCGGGGTTCAGATCACTGAACCGGCTATTTTTATTGTGTAAAGTTGCCACATCGAGGCTCTGCATGCCCAATGGTGGAGTGTGAAAAGAGTGAATGCCATTGTCACAGTATAATTGGAAAGCTTCACTTGTCATGCTAGTGATCTGATGACTTGTGATTACTTGATTATGGCTCTGCTGTAAAACTTGTTGAGTTATTGTTTGCTCTCTCCGCAGAGCCTCTTATCAAGTGAAATATGTCTTTAAAAAAAACCAAGTTTGAGACAGAGTTCCGCAGACATAGGGAAATGTAGTTCTATGAGTAGACACCTGTATCGGACTTTTTCTCGGGGGATTCTTAGTTTTACCTTTCACTCCACAGACCCCTTCGTTCTGCCACTCATGTTTCTTGCATGGGCATCCTTCACTTGAGTTCTTGCCATGTTCCCCCTTATCTCTTGTGCCTTTTCATCCCGATAATGACTTCTCTTCCAGATCATCCTTATTTCGGCATGATTAAAAAACCAAAAAAAAACCTGGAAAAAAAAATCTATTTCCACTGTCCACTGATAATGAGCATGATGCTTGACACCAAGAATTGTATATGAAACGAAGCAGCTTCTTTAATTGTTTGATATCCTGTACTTTTGTTAATCCACACTTCTCCCCATGATTTGAGTTTGGCAATCCTTCATATAGCACCTTCATTATTGTGACCCATTTCTGAATTCGGTCCTGAGTCCTGATCAGTGTTTATTCCCCCTCGTCCCTCCTCCCTCATCACACCGTCCTTTATGAACCAACATCTCCTACCCTTCTAATCCCTCCCGCTGTATCGCCTACCCGTCCCTCTAACCTTCCGGTCATTTTCCTTCCCTGTTTTTCTCCATACAGCCTTGAGACGGCCAAAAGCCAGACCTCTGTGACCGTTGACCCATCTGTGACCTCGATGACCTCATTCACCACCTCTTCATCACCCACCACCCTGACCCCGAATTCCGCACCCTCGCCGACAATCTCCCAAGACATGACTCCTCTCTCAAACATACTGATGAAACCTGTACCGTTGCTCAGTTTGGATGCCCTACAGCAGGCCAGCAATGCTTACACAACCAAAATCCGCACTGCTACGGTAGCCGCAGTCGCTGGAGCTAAGAAATTCTCCCCATACTAACTCCACACTGCACGTTCTTTTTTTGTTGTTTTTTTTCGCTGGTTCACGCTTTTTTGTTTGTTTTTTCTTTCGTTGTTTGTTTTAATGAAGGGATCATGATCCAAGTTGGCACTTTTTGTTTTGATATGACTTCTGATGACACAGGTGAAGAGTGAACTTTTTTTTGTTTTCCATATGTGATGTAATTGCTGTTTCACTTTGTGCTTCCAATCCAAGCCAAGTAATAGTTTTAGTGTCACAAATTTAAAAAATGTGGGGAAGATTGACATGGACACTCAAGTCATGATTGCTAAATTAACTGATTTGAATCTTATAGAGAACAGTATTGAGGTGAGTTGCGGACTACCGGTTTTGTAAAACCACAGAAATTAATTTTCATTTCTGCCTGTAAACCGGCTATCTAATGTGCATAATCGAGGGAAATGGCAGTGTTCCTTATACCAGGTTCACAATAGACGCAGTGACTACATTTAACAGGGGTGTACTAATATATTGACCGGTGGTTAGGGCAATAGTGGACATCTATGCACCTTTGGGGAGTGGGGACTGTGAGTTGACCATAAGAGTGCCCTAAAAACAGAACCCTCTTAAGGGTCACTCACAATCCCAAGGTTTGGATAACTGAACAATAGTGTCAAAAAATGTTAACTTTGTATTTTATACCGCCCAGTACCAAGTCTTGTACAACCTTTTTTTTTTTTTTTTTATTGAGAACAGCTTACTTTCGGCATGCTCATCCATGCATTTGGACAATGCCTAGGCATGCTAAGACATGTTAGAAATGTAGTTATTTTCACCTCGGGTTTGACCGCTGAACTGAAAATCTAGATGAAAAACGTCACTGTTCTCTACACAAATACAAACCTGACTTGACAATGGCTATAGATGCAAGTCTCAACTGACCACAATCAGAAAATCAGCTTTCAGTTTTGATAAATCGATAAACGTTAAAGTAAAAATGACATATTGGACGAAATCAAGTCTTCCACTTGGTTCATAATGTTGTCATTGCAAAGAATGTAACTTAACATTTAGATCATTACAACAAAGAGACTTTAGTAGGGTTTGATTATACATTTGTCGAGGACATTATTTAGTTGTCCTAGACGTTATTGAAATTGTCTCAGATGGTTATGCCAATCAGTATTTTAGTTTTGGTGGACTGGGGAAGGAGTCTGACATTTACATGTAGGTTTTGGAGGGAAATTAAGTCTGGTATCCTAACTGCGTTTGTTTAATGAGGCTCCTTACAGCTGCTACATGACGCTCTTACCAGAAGAAGACGGGGAACTAGAGTGCATGGTAGGAAAACAAAGACAGCTTTGAGGACGCGTCTGAATCTCGTGTCTAGCTATTGCCTTGGCCATTGCTCGTAACAACTACATGTGAACAAGCTGACAGTAGACACGGCCGTAGCTCTGGAAGTCCGTTTTTGACACAGCCTAGGATTGTATTACCTACTTAAGTAGGTGTGGTCATGGGATACTGTTCAAACAGAGGACTAACAAGACTGTTCGCGTGTGGAAGATGCAGACAACGCACCTAGGAAGTTGTGCATTTAACTTTGATAAGTAAAGCTACAGACCAACTGGAGGTTTGTAGGAAGTAGAGTCCGAATTACATTCATCCACTTTCATCAGTGCATGTGTAATTGCCGGCCGTAGACTAGTTATTTTAGACGCAGCCAAGAAAAATGTCAAATAATTGAGGACCTTTGAGAAGTTGAGGCTTTTCTTTTTCATTTTTAGTCGACTGGATGGGAGTTGTCATGTTAGAGCTCTTGGAAATATGATGTTCATTAAAATGGACGAAATGTTGGCTAGTCCTTGGTAGCAGTGCGGAAGTGCTGGGTTGAGGAATGATCTTGTTTTAGTTTCACCATCGGAAGTACATTGGCTGTTGCTACTGAAGACTGTAATAGGAAAGAGATGTATGTACTTGGCCTCATGCGCTGCAGTGCCAAGCACACGTTCATTCGAAGCATAGTGAGATTTGGGAATGCATGTATTCCCTTTCAGTAAGGTACTTCAACTTGAATGTTTCTAGTTTCCATCGTGAACAGAGGGACTTCTAGAACAAGCGACAGTAGATTTTAGCATGCATATTTGCTACGTCAATGGGATACCCTAATTGCTGTGGAAACAGTTGCGGAAGTCTCGCCTTCAACTCATAATTTTAATACAGTTTTAGAGTGCTAAATTTTGACGTGATTCACTTCCATCGAACTGAAAATGATTTTCTGATTGTAGTTTCTGTTCAGTTATTGGTAAGAGGTTTTGTGGGGGGGGGGGGGGATAAAAGTTTTAGAGTGAACCAGCGAAAAGCGCATGTTTAAATGCACCTGTATGCGTCATCATCACATCATGTACATAATGTGTCATCACCCAGCTTATGTCTTGACAGTAATGTACTAGTATGCGCACTTGTTTGTGTGGGTTTTAGTCAATCTTTGAATGAAGAAACATAGCTGGCTATAACATAACCATGCAGCAGCATCATGGACAGATAAATTATAATTTATTTCCAACTTTTTTCCAATGATTGTTTTTCCTCCGAGTCTTTGTATTCATGTTTTAGTATTCCAAACCATAGTTAATCTTCCATTGTATTTAAGAGGCTCCTAATTAAGTAGTGTATGTAATTGACCGAGATTTTTGAGACCGTGGCATACAAGGGTTTTCTTTCGTCCGTCCATAAAGTCAAAGAGTCACAGACAATTTTTTTCCAAGCATTGATGAAATTGAAGCACACACCAAGCTAGATAATTTTACTCCATACTTTGGTATTACAATTCATGTGTGCTCACGTAGCAAGGGTGTGTGCCAAGTTTTGATCAGGTTGGTATTAAAACATGTACATTTTTGGGGCATGACTGTAGAAACAAAACGCATCTTCCACTTTTTTGACATAATTATGTATAAATTTAGCAAAAGTAAGGCTGTACAAAAAAATAAAAACGATTTGGTGCGTGGATGTTACGTAAGGTACGTGTATAGCCTAGCTAGCCTGTTTCGAATGGTAGTAGATATAGTTGTTATGATGTTATACAACAACTTCACTAATTTCAATAACTAGTAGTGTTCATTAGTCCGTCTTGTAGATCGTGTTGCATGTGTGATAACTAGTTTGAGTTTTCACCACAAGAGCATCGGTTTGGTATCTGACATGCAGGTTAGCTGTCCGTCAACAAGCAGAAAATAATAGTCTGTCTGACTATTCAAGAAAAGAGATTTTTCTGTGTACATTTGCAGGATCATCCTATGTGTGATTTATTTGTAATTTGATTGGCGGTTGTCGGCGATGCGTATATTTTTGCAGGTATTCATTTTTAAATAATTGATCTTAGTTCCTCTTCCGCGGAGTTCCATTTTTTTGGGGGCAAGATTTCTGCTCGGATGTTGTGTTTACTTGTATGGAAATGTATATAGCGCCCTCAAGGCAGAAATTGCTTACAGACCGTCTCAGGAGATCCTTGTTTTTTTTAAGCGACTTCAATCCATGATGCATTGTTTTGGAGTAAAGCCAATTATTTGGGCTATCGTAGAGAGGCCAAATCAGTTGGGAATTACTTTCAACAACTTTGTATTAACCCTAACCCCTTGAGCACTTTAACTAGAATATCCTAAATCCGCCAAAATCCGGCCCCAATTTTGTCATGCAAAAAATGTTGGTTTCCTGAGTTTATCAGAATCCACCAGTGTAGTATGATAAATACCTCGTACACACCAAACATATAGCCAATGGGTTAAACTGTTGAGATCCTGAATCCATCAACTTCACCCAACTGCTAAATGTAGAGGTATCCTGGATCCATCAAAATCCTGCAGTACCGCTGGGCTTACTGTCCTGAATCCACCAAAATCCCCCATCTGCACTGGAAAGCAGGAGGTCGTGGGTTCGAGTCCCAACCGAGTGATTTTCCAACTTTCACTCGGGAGGTAACACACTGAGTATAGTGTTAAACGTCGTTGAAGGGCAAAACCTATAATTTGAAAATCCCCCAACTTTTTCAATATGGATGTATCCTGAATCCGCCGAAATCTTCCAAAACAGGGGTGTGGATTTTGAAGGATTCAGTTACGTTAGGGTTTATATAGCAAGTTCGTCCACAGGAATTTGACACCCATCAATATTTCATTTAGAGATTAAAAAAAAAATAATACCAGCACTTCTTTTTCGGTTGACTACCTTGGGAACAGGTGGGGTTTTCATTATTATTTTTTTAATTAAAGTTCTTTATGAAAGATAACGATTGTAATATCATGAAATTACTTACTTAAGGGAACAGCTCCCGTAGGTGGAGGGCCCTGTTTAAAATCATGTTGATGGAAAATCTGAATTTGTCTTCTATAGTAATTTCTTAGCGGGTGCACATTTTCCTTGCTCAAATTAACGCGTAGTTTACGGAACATTGCGCTGTAATTGCATGGAATGAACTATTTGAATGAGACTTCAAGCATTGGTTGATGACGGGTCACATGACGAAGAGAATGCGTAGAAGAATTTGTAGAGGTAATTTATATTCAAATTTCATATCCGGCAGTCGTGCTTCTAAATCAAACGTATTGAATCTACACGCTTCATTTGTCAATTTGAATTTGATAAAATTTGCAAAGAAATTTGCGAGAAATTTAAATTTTATCCAACAATCTTTAAAAGTAATTTTTCGAAATGAAAAAAATAAATAATAAGAACATTAAGATATATTATGGACATATATAATGTTTATTTGTGTTTATTGTTTGCGTTTTGTAAGATATTACTAATATCCCGACCCTCATATTGGAAGATTTATTTGATACAAGTCATATTACATGTATGTATTCATTCAATTTATGTTTTATTATGTTATTCTTCCTTTTTCCAGTTTACTTCCATTTAATTCAGTAGTTGGGCAGTTCATTTCCAAGACAAATGCTTTAAATTGGACTGGTATACAGTTCTTCAAATTTCGCAACTCCATTTTTTATTCAGTGATTTGCAAAATTATGAATAACATTATACAGGGTGGATTTTTGGGGGTATTTGTGTTGTAATTTTTTCTGTTAATAAGTTGTTCATTATGTACAGATTTAACAATAGTTAAACAATTGAGATTGTTGAACTGGAGCAGTTTTTGTTTTTACAAGGGATTTATATTTGTGTTTGAATGTTGTTTGCAATGCTTCAAAAATTATCATGATCCTCGTGTCGACTGCGGCTCTTTGTTTTATTAATTATTCCGCGTAATTTTCCTTGCGTAATTCTTGTAATTATACCTTAAGATGCTGTGATTTTCTTCATTTCAATACTGTTAAACATTTTGTAGGAGAGCCGTCTTATTAACGAGCGACAGGAAATGCTTTGAATGGAAATTCGCAGAACTGAGCACTATATAGACCTTTATGTGTAGCAGCCATCTTAGAGGGCAATGCCTTTGTTTTTGCTTGGATATGTATGAGTGAACCTGTTGCGCATTCATTGTTACTGAATTCAAATAAACAAAAAAGGTCCCTAAGATGGCTGCTACCGCATAATCATGGCTATTGGAATACACATTGTAATTCGAAGTTGTCCGATTAAAGACGCTAGTTGGTAGCAAATACCTGTCCTTTTTTTTGGCGGACGATTTGAACTATTCGCGCGCATGCGTTTAGGTACATGAAGGCTACAAGACCCCCAGATCAACACAATGTACCGTTTTCACGTGTACACGCTAGTCTTGTCATTTCTATACCGTCACTAAATATTCAACGGAGGCTTAGATTTTGTTTAGGTTTCGTGGTGCCAAATTGGTGGATTCGTTCTGACAGACTTAGAGTGTTGAATTGTTGACTATATTCGGCCAGTTTAAAAGCTACTTAAATACTTGTTTAACCGTGCTGTAAATGTAAAGTAGTGAATATTAATTGTTACTATCCTTTACGCTTCAAAGCTAAGCTATTTTTTTTTGGTTATTGTGTTGTGTAATATAAAGCATCGCGCACGGTGATGTAATATAGCTGTGTATTCACGATTCACAAATTTTGAGTCGCTTGTACATGTACTTAGAGACAGATGTAGCTGAAGGTTTATTTTTTGTCGCCCGTTATGGCTTCTCATTTTAAATTCATATCGAATTGTATAGCCGATCCATGGAAGTATGATAATGGAACCACGCCGTTAGCTCATGTTTGGACGCTTTGGGATCACTTTCCATGCTATAGATCTTTTACTTTCGATCGAGCACTGGCTATTTTAACAAGAATATTTATTCTTCTTCCGCAAGTAGCAGTTAACAATTTTATTAGCACAGGCAGTACGTGTATCATATTAGCTAAATAATGAATGTAACTTATATAACTGTGACAGTATTACCTAAAATACCAAGTAACATTGTACATGTCATGTTGGTATAGTGATGGTGTGACGTGAGCCGCACGCCAGATAGGTGACCATTTAGCGTATATACGTGTGTAAATCACGTGACTACATGTAACGTCTTCCAGAATGATATTCGTTTTTGGAAAAAAAAAAGTTTAGAAAGAATGTCTGGATCGGTTAAGATTCGTTTCACATTCTAAATAAACCAAGCAGGACCAGCAATTGTATTAAATTACACTAAGTACCGTTCGTTGCCGTAATCATACGGATCATTTAAATGATTACTTAGTGTCGATTACTGACATAGAAATCCAGTAGGTTATTGGATACATTGTGAACGTTTTTGAGTCTGGACATGTTTAGAGACGTTTTCCTCTGATTACTAAGATAATCTTATCTTAATTGAATGATTCCTTAGCTATAGACGATGATTTGACACCTCAAAAGAAACTTGTCAATTGTGAAAATTGGGATTCGGGTGGTTTTTGTTTTGGTCCAATTCTTTAGTTTTTGAATTATTTTAAAATCGTATTGCTAATTGGTGTGGGAAACAGAGCTTGTAAACGTTACATATTCGGCATCAGACAAATTCTTGATTTCCGTACATCGAATATAACATGCAATAATAATACATTTGAGAACAATAGCTCAAACAGAGAATTCAGGATTGAATTGCCGTGTAAATCAAGAAATGTGTTGAGCAGTTTGGTGCGCAACATAATCACAGGTGGTTAACCTACGCATACATTTCTGTATGCTCTTAACACGTACAGCGATTATACATTTAACTCGATCAGCAGCAGAAACTTTGTAACTGAATTTCCAATTGTAACCATAAAATGAAAACCCATAATAAACGAGAATAACTCAAGAAGATATACTAACCGGCATTTCTTACAGCGAAGTTGAAGTTAACATTGAATAGTTAATCTTATTGGTAAACAAGACATAATTTTAGTCTAGATTGAGCTCGTTTTAAAAAGCATGCTTTACTGTGTACATCGATGTGTGAATAAAAGAGCTGCACACAACATATTGGCTTCCGAATTTTAATCCATTAAGTTCTATTTTTTTTTAATTTGTGAAATAATTTGTTCATCACTCAGGATTATGTAATAAAAATCAAGGTTATCACTTAGGCCTTATGTTGACGTCATGACAGCTGGTGTGGAACTTTAAATCGCAAAACAATACGGATGCACTCTTTTGGCAACGTTAATCTTGTTAAACTTTTGCGAAATAAACTGCGGCGAATATTGTTCTTTAGGATAAGTGCTATACTGACAAGATGCAGTTCAATGTGGTACAGATTTTGAACCAGACAGAATTAGCTCTTTTGTAGTGCATTGATTGGTTGCGTTGTGTGTTTTCTATCTCATTTTTAATGTCGTTCCGAGAATAGTTCATCCATAAGAGCGAGTATTGCCAACTGGACGACCAGTCTTGGAGCACCAAAACTTGTTCAGTTTTCCTAAACGGACCATCCTCAAACTAAGTAAAACTTTAATCGTTCGTTTTGCATTCTCTTCGCGGTTAGGCCCCAACAAAGTCTCCAGTTTCTGGTATGAAGCTTGCACCAAAATGGTGCAGCGACGCGGTTTTTCCCCCCTACTTTTTTTTTCTTCAAATGTCGGTTGATGTTGCAGTTGACTCTTCGATCCCTTAAAACTCTCCAAAAAAAAATAGCTTGAGGTGACCTCAGTAAGGCCATAAGGCTTGAAAATTCTACACCCACTTACGATCTCTACCGACACGAACGGGAAATTTGGATAGTCAAGACAAACGGTAACGTCAGACCATACAGCGACATCGACATCGTGCATGAGCTGCCAGGCTGGCCATTAGTCTGCTGCCTTTGCGCTGATTAAAAAGCGTTTACGGGTTCCAGAAAACACGACCATC